TGTATTCGTCTTGGCTGATTTTTGTTTCGTTTTTATTCTTCTTTTTGGACATCCATACCCTGACGTTCGATTATTATTTAAAGAAATGTAACGTATAATATAGTACTATGACAGTGAAAAAAGAAGCACTTGAGAAATACAAGGACAGTGGAAAGCAGATGGTTACCTGCAAGGATTGTGGGAAAACGGTACGTCGATACAATTTATCGCATCACAAGAATACAGCTTTCCATCAAGATGCGGTGAAAACAGCCAAAGCCGCTTGCAGTTTAGAAGATGTGGTGACCAGAATTGAAATGGTTCTTGAAGTGATTGAACGGCTAGAAGAAAGACTTGATAGAATGAATGATGATGAATTTTAGAATATACTACTTAAATAAATAGTATTTTCTAGTACTTAGTAATACAAGATGATTGGTAACAGTGTGGATCACGTGAACCTCGAGGATTTTAACGAACAAACCGCGCGGAACTGGTTGCGGACTGATTGGACTGCACGTCGTGCGATTCTGGACGATTTAGTCAATAAGCAGCTGCTGAAAAAAGCTGAGCATGCAGGCCTTGTTCTGTACAACTACACAGACAAGTGTGATAGAACCAAGGCATGGTCAACCGCTACGATTAATGCCCGTGGAACCATTTTTGATGATAATACAGGAGTTGTGGTTGGGCGTGCATTTAGCAAGTTCTTCAACATTGGCGAACACGAAGTATCCAAGTTCGAAAATTTGCCGACTGATCAACCGTCCATTCTTGAAAAGCTGGACGGATCCTTGGGCATTCATTATCGCAACAATAATAAGCACTGCATTGCGACACGAGGATCCTTCATTTCCCCACAAGCTGAACATGCAACTGCTCAACTGAACTCCGCGAAGTACATCGTGGATAACATCCCGCATAACATAAACATCCTTCTGGAAATAATATATCCAGAAAATAGAGTTGTCATTGATTACGGTTCGAGAGATGAGTTGGTTTTGCTGAGCGCCTATTATCTGGACAGCCTTGAAGAATTGACCGCATCCGAGCTGCTTGAATTGTCTGTGAAAACTCAAATACCTCTCCCTCAACAAACAACCGGAACAATATTAGAAATGATCGAAAGAGCGGCCACCATACGTGGAAATGAAGAAGGATGGGTCGTAAAATATAATAACGGCCTCCGTGTGAAAGTGAAGGGTCTTGAGTTCAAGAGACTGCATGCGTTAAAAGGGGATGTTTCACCACTGCGTGTTTGGACTTTACTATCTTCACACGCTGTCAAGGAAAATCAATTTGAAGCATTCTTACAAAAAAGCCTTGAAGATTGGGAAATGAAGCAAGAAGCGAAACAAATTTATGATCGCTTCACGTCAGATATCCAAATGTTAGAAGGCGCTGGAAAACGCATACTAGCCGAACTTGCGATCGATCGCACCAAGATCACAGACAGAGCATATCGAGCAGAAGCAATGAAGAAAATCAATAAACTCACAACTCCTTTACGTAGGTACCTGATCGCAAGCGTATCCGGATCCAACGAGTATGACATATTGTGGAACATGTTGAAGCCAGTGAATAATCGGTTTATTGAAACAAAAGAATTGATAAAATGAATGATGATGAATTTCAGAATATACTACTTAAAGAAATAGTATTTTCTAGTACTATAGAAACAATATGCAGAGACGCGATGATCTGATTCCCACGATTTACAAGTTGAATTTGAAATCAGCAGGAAAGAGCATTCTTCGTCTTCGATTTGATGCAGAACTGACAATAGATCAGATTCGCAAAGAAGTGGAAGCAGAAGCCGCAGTCCTCAAAGAGAAAGGATTTGAAGGGTATTTAGAAGTCAACATCAAAGTGTCTGAAGGAAAGAACAGTTGGAGATCAGGAAAGATGTTTAACATTGATGATCCTGTATCCATGTACTCATTCAGTCAACAATACGATGATATGAACAACATTCCCGAGAAAATGTTGGGCTTTGATTTGTTCCTGATAAAAGCGGCCAAAGCTGGTGGCTGTTCAGGAGTAATGAATGACTGTTGCTTTGATGAATTATCGAAAGCGATCCAGTTACCGTGGACATCATCCGCTGAAATGAAAGAATATCTGTGCATTGGTCGATCAAAGCCAATATACACTGGTCACCTTGATTCGATTGAATACATGCTTCCTAAAACCATCAAGATTACTGTTGAAGGAGAAGCTACTCGTGTGTCGAAGAGAACCAAAACGACTCAAGAAGTTGTTCTGTCATTGATGGATGGACACTACACATTGAAGTCGCAATTTATCCCCAAACAAGCCAAAGTAAAATTGACTGAACGGAGACCACTGATTTATTCAGATAACAAAGATGGTACCTACACATGCTACAATGGTGAATCGTTTACCCATACGTTTATTGCTGATGGTGTACAACGATCAATCAAGCACAAAGCTGGAATCTCTGTTATTGATAGCGATAAATTGCGTACATATCGTTGGTACGCAGATACAGCCTATGTTCTTGTTCGCCCTGATTTTGCCAAAGATGAATTCGGCAAGAAAAAGGAGCTATCATTAGAAGAAACATACGTAGCTTGGAAGAAAGACGCTGATCAAATGAAGACCCTGACAAATGGCGTTATTAATTTGTACAAGACTGGTGACAATCCAACAACAGCTTTAGAAGTATTTCGTTCATTCAATAAATCAGTTGTGCCCGATCATATCCGTTACAATGAAGCAATTCGTCTTAATGACGCTTCATTTTCAGCATTAATTTATGCACGAAAGGGATATGAAGGTGTTGCTTACAAGTATGATTTCTCGAGTTTTTACCCAGCATTATTGAGCAGTCAACATTTCTTGCTTCCGACCGGCGAACCAGAATACATCCATGTTGATTTGGAGGATGGAATCAAAAATGGCATGCTCGTATTACGTATTGGGATTTATGACTGCATCATTGAACCGTCGACAGATGCGAATATTAATAAGCTGGTGAGGTTTTCGATCAATAACCGATACCCGTACAGAGATGTTATCAGAGCATATGAACTGAGATTGAAAATAACAATGAAAGAAGGAATTAATGCCATGGTGTATGATCGTGAGGACTGTATTGCGGGAAACAAATTGTATGCGCCGTTTGTCAACCTGTTGTTCGGATTGAAAAAGAATCACAACATCCCACGTGCAAAGGCAATTCTAAACTGTCTCTGGGGTGCACAATCACAGACGAATACATATCATTACACACACAATGAGAATGAGGAAATGAAATCAATGCCCGACAAAAATTTGATAGTGACAAGAGTGCAAACAATTACCGATACAAAAACCAGTATTGAATGCGTGAATCCTGATAAGTACTTTGAAACCAATTTCGCTAGAGTGAAGCCATTGATTCTATCTCAAGGTCGCAATAAACTGAGTAAAGCTCTTGAACCTTTCATCGAGGATGTGATTTGGATTCACACCGATGGTTTCATTACAACCAAACCAATCGATGTTACTAAGTTACCTTCTGTCATTAAGATGGGAGATGGATTGGGCGAATTGAAGTATGAAGGAAAATGCGACAACTTCAAGTTGACCAGTGCAGTGAAATTCGAAGGTGTCTTCAAACAATAATTACAATTTATCAACTATACTTATTAACATGAAGAACTTCTATGAAATAATCCCTCCAGATGAAAATGATGCGTACAATCCCAATATAGACCTAGGAGCATTCAAACATCCTTTCATGGGCGGTGTTGTTGGTGGTACTGGTACAGGCAAAACAAATTTTGTTTTAAATTTGATCGATATTTGTGACAATTTTGAAACCATTACAGTGTTTGCCAAAGATTTAGAAGAACCATTGTACAAGTTTTTAATTCGCCACTACATACAAGTCGAAGAAAAAATACAGAAACAGCATGGAGTTGATGACCCGATTATTTTTTGTGCTAATTCCATTGACAAATTGCCACCTGTTGAGTTCTACAACAAGGATAAACAAAACTTGATTATTTTCGATGACATGATTTGTGAGAAAAAGGCCAATCTCAATAAAATAGCTGAATACTTTATTCGTGCAAGAAAACGTAACTGCTCATGCTTATTCTTGTCCCAGTCGTATTTTAAAATTCCTTCGACCATTCGCCAACAATGTCACTACATGGTGCTTAAACCATTGGCATCTAGACGTGATAAAAATATGCTGTTGTCTGACAATGCTGGAGAAATCGAACCAGAGAAGCTGAAACAAATGTTTGGTAAAGCTTTCGAAAAAGATTTAGATGTTTTTATTATCGATAAACGTGCCAAAGGCATGGATCGATTCCGTCGTAACTTTACCGATTACTGGGATGAGAGTACTTTGGACGACGATTACGAGTAATAGTTGCTTTTTCAAGCCTCAATTACACATGGTAAGTAAAAGAAATGCAAATGACAGAGATTATTTAGTGATTTAATCTCTGATGTAATACTAGTATAATGTCCCTTCGTAGTCGGCTAGAAAATAAGACAAGGAGCAGCCAAACATTGGCAAAAGCGACACAGCAAGCGATTTATAATGATGCTGTTGCTGAAGAAGATGTCAATAAAATTACTTATCTAACTGGAAAACAGAACAGGAACAGCATTGATTCTGTATTACAAGGAGCAAGAACAGGACGTACGTTAAGAACAGCGTTTGGTGGTATTGAAGGACAGCTGAAAGAGATGAATACAAGAGTGAATAAGGATGTTGAGAAGGTGGAGCAGCACATAGAAGTCAAACCAGATCCTCCGAGTGCTGGGTATGTGACAGACGACTACATAAATGAATACAAAAAGTCCAGACAAGAAATCGTCGACAAACACCAAAAACGAATTAAGGATCTCGGTTCGCGAGCAAGTAGAAAACAAAAGGATGATATCATTGCGGAGATGGATGCGGAGTTGAAAGAAACAGAAATGGAATACAAGATGGCGCTGCTTGATGTGATTTACAGTGATGAAGAGTATTTCAAGCAGGTTGATGAGGTGATGGCAGGGTATGCAAGAGATATGGAGAATCCAAAGCATTCCAATGAATTAAAACAGTACATGCAACGGACATTGCGCAAGCTACAACAGAAGAAACAAGAACGATTGCAGAAGCGCTACCAAGATGACATCTTGCCGGATATTGGCAGATTGTTCGAATGATAGGAAGCTATTTTGTGCCGTAACTATATAATGTCTTGGAAGTCGAGATCGAATATAAAGACAGCAGCAGCACAGAGTCTTGCTGTAGCAACACAACAAGCTGTTCTCAGCGATGCTATTGCAAACGGTGAAACAAACAAGATTACCTATTTGACTGGCAAACAGAATGCTGCAACTGCCGATTCAGTTCTGGCGGATCAAAAATCAGTGGATGTGTTTAGAGAAGGATTAAGACCAACCACTGAACAATTGGCAGAATTGAATACTACAGCCCAAACACAAAGTAACATTGATGCGGGTATCGAACAGGACACAGACGAGCCGCTACTGGTGATTGAAGATCAGCCTAATTTTATTGATTTACTCAAACAAGAGCATATCTATGACGAGTATCAGGACGAAAAAAACAAGGTTGAACAAAAGTATTTCACTCAGGCAAGCAACTGGCAAAGAAATATTGAAAGAGGCCATCCTGTCAGTTCAAACACTCCGTATTCTGAATCGTACATGAAAATGATGAAAGGAAAAGTGGAGAAAATACAGGATACGTACAGTGATGCGATTGGCAAGTTACAAGAACGATATGTTGAAGAGGCAGTCGGCGGTGAGAAACGCATAAATAATAGGGTGAGAAACGCATAAATAATAGGGGAATTAACAGAGGGTTAATTAGTCGGAATTTACGTGATCTTAGCGACAGACAGGCCAACTATGAAGGCCAAGACGAATCAGATGAACATTCAAGTGACTCTGACTACAGTGGTAGTGGTGCTAAGCTGCCGAAAAAAGCCGGCGGTGGTGGTAAACTACCTGTCAGTGCTGGTGGTGGCGGAAAACTGCCTACAAAAGCTGGTGGTGATGTCGATATCCCTGAAGGAAAAGCAAGATTCGGTCGTTATTTTGTTGATGTCAAGAAATTAAAGAAAGGAACGCTCTCCATTTCACAGGCCAATGGTCGGAAAGTAAATGGTATTTCCAATATTGTCTTATCTGAAAATCTCAAGAAAGCATTCACTCGGAAGAAGATCAATAGCAACAAAGTACAGTTAACAGAACCCGAAACAGCGTTCTACAATTCCATTTGTCATAAATGTGGTGTTGATATCATTGGCAAACAAAAAATAATGTCAGGAGGCTGTGGTGATATTCATCTGACCAGTGTCCGCGATGCATCCGATAGATTGAAGGTACTGCTTGGAGAAATCCATGCTGGCAATACTGGCAACAAGGAATTGAAGAATGAAGCATTGAATCTAATTGAGCTGTGCAGACAGAATAAAGTGTTCAATGACGCAACTGCGAAAGAATACGTAGAAAACTTTATTCATTGATTGTATAGATGCGTTTCGCCTACCCATTTAACAAGACGCTTGATGCAAAAACATCTAACAAGAAGGCGAATATATTCCAGCTGGATTTAACTGACAAGATGGATATGCGAAAATGGAAAGTGGCTTTCGAATCCGCAAGCATCCCAGTAAGTTGGAAAAACATCAAAGCAGCATATGGAAACAACACATTTTCATACAATAATGGAACCGATGATGTCACTGTCACATTCCCAGATGGTTTGTATTCAATTTCTGATATGAACGGTGTTTTGCATGAAATAATGCACGGTAATGGCGACTACACAACTGTAAGCGGTGTCGATGTCTACAGCATATCCTTGTATTTGAATGATGTGAGAAACAGAACAGGTGTCAGCATTAGTTCTCCGTACACATTGACTATTCCAGCGGGCATTGGTCAATTGCTTGGAATTGATGCAGCTACATACAATTCTTCATTCACAAGTCAGAACTTGCCAGATGTCGATCGAATAAATTCAATTATGATACTTTGCGATTTTTTGAGGAATGATTATCATCCTGAACCTAAATGCTTGTACTCATTCCCTGCGTACGGTACTTCAGGCGACATTCTGGAACGTCAAGTACAGCAATTAACATATATTGATTGCAACGGTACCGACAAACGAAGTCTGAGCATTGAATTTCAAGATGAAGATGGCAAGGCTTTGGATATGGAGGATCGTAATGTTGTTGTGAGATTGATATTCAGCGACGAAGATTAATCTCCAGTTAATTATATAGATGCGCAGATCTGACTTTGTAAGACGAAACATCCGCCGAAATGGAGGCGTCCTTCGTGTACGTTATCTTCCTGTCCAACATGGAGACGGGGTGAAAGAAATGTTGACAACAGTCGGCAAGTTCTTGAAATCAGGAGCTACTACTTTGCTAGGCAAAGCGAAGGAGCAAGCTCCAAATCTCATTCAGAAAGCCAAAGAAACAGGTACACAAATTGCTGAGCAACAGATCAAGAAAACTGCTGCTGCTGGTACCGAAGCCATATTAAAGAAAGTGCAGCAAATGGGCAAACAAGCTGAAAAGACTGCAGTGGACGCCGCTGTTAAGGTTTCCAAAACAACCACCAATAATGGAGGTGATTACAAAGACCCTACCGTTGAAATTCCACCGTCATCCACTTCTACAAGAACAGCTGATGATCTCGAAACGAAAGCCGCAAACAGAGCAAAATTATTGGAGGAATATAAGTTCCCTGCATACAGAGGCGGTTCAGCCAAGCGAGGTGGTTCTGTCAAGTATTATTAATGAATGTGATCAATTGATCATCTTTATTTCTATTGAGAATGTATAGCATGAATCGTCAGCACGTACTTTTGATGAACACTTCGGGTAATCCCAATATCGAGTTCAAGCCATTCAACCGATACGAATATGTGGAATTACCCGATAATAACAACGGCAACTACAGTTCAGGTATCAAATTCAACGTCAATTCATTACAATCAGGTTGGTCGGATCCAGCTAATGGCTATGTTATGATTGATTATTTGCTGAAGAAAGCAAACGGATTAGCAATTTCACAAGCAGAGTATGACAGTTTCTCACTGAACTGTGGTACATACTCACTGCTTGGTGGCGTGAACATCACGATGGGCACACAAAATAAAGTTATTCTCGATGACGACAAGCATTTACCATTAACAAATCACCTTCACTGGATGGCAGAATGGAGCAAAGATTACGCTGAAACCAAAGGTCGTCAGTATGCTTACGCTCTTGATGCCAATGATGTTCAGACTAATGCAGCATATGGGTACGAGTTCCCTGCAGTCGATTTGGCTGGTACTGTAGACAACAAAACCGTCAACAACACCGGTGCTGCTGGTGCCAAAATCGGTGAGTTGGTCAGCGATGCTGTTACCGTTCCAGTTGCTACCACACCACTACAAATTGTCGGTAACCAAGCTTTCGCCATCCGCAAAGCCGTTCTCGAAACTTATTCTCTCACTCCATTTGTTGCTGGGGTAAGCACTTCACTCCAGTATCGTATTCCGTTCCCAATGAAGTTCTTCACAGATGCTTTCCGTGCAATGGATTTCGCTATCTGGAATCTTCGCATGGATATTAATATGGATAGAAAGACCGACGCTTATCCAACACTCGCCACAACCACTGCCGGCGTTGCTCATAATTTCTCGTTCACTCCAATCAACGGCACCGCTAAATTATACATTCCAATGGTCGAGTGGCATACAGAACACCAGCCATTGTTCAACACACTATCTCTGAACTACAGCAAGGATTTGGAATATTTCCAGTACGTTGTCAAAGAAGATGTCATTGCGAACAATTTGATCGCGTCCGTCACCGACAAGGTCTTGTTCGAGAAAGAAACAGATCTGCGTCAACTTTACATCCTTGCCATGGCTGATCCAGTTGGTAATGATGGTATCATTCCTTCGGACAAGTTGTACCCATATATCTACAATCGCAGAGTCACAGATGTTACTGTTAAACTAAACACCAAGCCATTATACGCGTCTCCAATCACGTCCGATGTCATTTTGTACGATTATTACACCCAGTCTTTAGCTAGCTCTGGTTTGGATACATCTACAAGTGCACAAATCGGTTGGATTGACTACAGACGTAATTATTTCCAGACATTATTCGATTTTACAAGTACTGAAGCTGTTAATGCCAGTAACCTTCTTGAATGCAAGATTATGGCATCATTCAAGCCAGTTCACACGAACAATGTTGGTAACACTCCAAACGTTGCTACTCGCTATCTCTATGTCGCCAAGTGTCTGCGCCATGCAAAGATTACCAGTGACAACGGTGTTATGAATGTCGCTTAAACCCTAATATAATGTTGATTAACTGTATATTAGATCCCATGACTGATTTACGATTATTGATTGATCAATATGGTGGTGCTGTTGCCCACGAAAATGGTACACGAATTAAATTAACTGCGGCTCAAGCCCGTCAAATGTTAGAACAAATTAAATATGGTTTGCCTGTGACCATTAAGCTTACAAAGAGTCAGATAGGTAGTGGTGCATTTGCTGATTTGAAATCGGTTGTTATTAAGGCCATAAGCACACCTATGTTCAAGGAAATCGTGAAACGTGCTAATCCTAAAGAAATCGCTGAGACGATTAAACAAACCATCGTAGATCCTGTAAGTCGTGTCATCAGCGGTGGTGCTTTGACGACTACATTTTCTCCTGACATGATCAAACATCTAATCGCTATCGTTGATGAAACAGATATGCCGAAAAAAACACGCGAGCATGTCCTGAATGAACTACAGAAAGGAAGAGGCGATGTTATCATTCAATTCTTGGGCTACATGATGGGGCGTGGTTTGTTTGAATAAGTTTCTCAAGTTCATATATATTCATGCAGCGATTGAGTAATTTAGATATCCAAGCGTTCTTCCGCCATGATCCGTATTTCGATGGAGTTTACTCGAAAGATCGGTTACCAGCAAAAATTGCTGCAAAGAATTACGTCGTGAATATGGACAACAGCAGTGGCGGCGGCACTCACTGGGTTGCTGTCTGTAATGTCGGCGAGAACTGCTTCTATTTCGATCCTTTTGGTGTTGATCCTCCTCCAGCGATATTGGAATTCATGAAAAGTGGCACCAAGCAATGTATGGGTAATACTGTACAAATACAGGATATCAAAAGTAATGCATGTGGTTACTTCTGTTGTTATGTCATCAAAGAATCATTGAAGAGAGATGTTGTCGATGTGTTGTATGATTTTTCCACTAACAAGAAGAAAAATGACAGTTTTATCAAGGCATGGTGGTCAAAACAAAAATGAGGCGTAAATATATAACATGGCAGACGAACATGAAGAGCGCATTCGTTGTATGAGCGAGAAAAAGAACACAGAGAACGCGTACACTGACCCGCACATTCTAAAGAAACCAACCAAGAAAGCTGGAGCATTTCGATATTATTTGATCGTTCAATGCGCCAGTTGTGGCAAGAACAAGTCGAAGAGTATTTCTTCGCATTTGGCTCAACAGTATCAAGTTCCCATCAGAAGTGCAATGAAGAGTAGTTTCGACTCGAAGACGGAACGGGTTAAGTTCACAGAAGGTACCAAGACCAAAGCTGATCATGAGGTTGCTAGTTATTCAGCGAAACCTAAACGTGACCGTCACAAACATTTCCAAACGCCAGAAGAGTTTGAAGCTGCACAGGAAGATGATGAAGATGCCGTTTCAATGCCCAGTGGGAAGAAATGGAAGAAGCAGCAAGACAAGTTACGTGCGGATAAAGAGCTGAAGAAACCCATACGTGAATTGACACCAGAAGAAGCTGCTGAAATTTTTGTTCGTGTAAATGACGCTGATGAATTCATTGAAGAACATCCAGAAGGGTTGATCGTTGTTGATCCTGCAAAAACGACTGCAGAAGATATCGAGAAACTGAAGGAGATGGTTGATGGGGAGCAGGAGATCGATGAGCTGGAAGAATTTGGTGACACAACTCCTAGAGTGATCGAATTGCAAGCTGCCGATCGCCGATACGATCTTCGAACTCCTAAAGCAAAGACGGTACAAAAACAACGTACCAATGGCGCCAGATCAAAATCAGGTGGCTCTAAAATTCCTCGCAGGAAGTGATTAATTTATTGAGTTGAATAACTAAGTAAATTAAAACAGCAAACCGATCGGCCTCGAACCGATATCTTATGAGTTAACACACGCATGAGTCCATTTATGCTACAGTCTGCATAATAGTATACAATCTAAATGCCTAATGGTCGTCAATGAGAATTACCGCTCATTGACAGTCAATAGTTAGTCAACTACCGATTGTCATGTACAGTACAGGAATCGAACCTGTATCCCCAACGCCACAAGATGATGTTCTTCCATTAAACTAACTGTACCGCGACAACACGAGGAATCGAACCTCGATTTTCTGCTAGACAGGCAGAAGTACTACCATTGTACTATGTTGTCATACATCAAGACGGAATCGAACCGCCACAGTCCATTTGGAAAACGGATATTCTACCATTAAATTATTGATGCTATGCAGAGGTGGGAGTCGAA